CCAAAGCTCTGTGCATGAGTGTTTCTTTCAGTAATGAGTAGGGGTGTAACGGTTCACAAACATTTCGGTAGGGTACGTACCTTGGTTTTTAGGTCACGGTTCGGTACGTTTTCGGTACAGCAGAAAAAATGATCACAAAACATAAAATATATATATATTTTTTTTAATTATTATTAAACTGTGAATATTCACTCAAATAAATACAAAATATAATAAAATAAACATTAAGGTGCAGCATTTCGATGAACGTAAATAATCTGTACTTGAACTGTACTGTACTAGTTTGACATTAGGACTTGCTTGCTTGTCATTGTATTTTCATGTTTTTTTTTAAGATGAACTTGTCCACATTGCTTGCCGAAAGGGCAGATCTTCTGGCACTAACAATGTCTCCTGCTGTGGAGAACACCCTCTCTCTAGGGACAGAGGTAGCAGATGCAGCCAGGTAGCGCTTTGCTAACATGGCAACATAAAGATATTTGGCGTTTGTAATAGCTTTGGCTCGGTCTGAACTTTTTGCGAGTGGTGGAGGCTTAATGCTAGTGGGAGTTGGGTTTGCACTTCAGTCATTTTCCTTTTGGTACCGGTGATATTCACGTTCGGGAGATGCCTTTTCAAATTAGTGTGCAAGTTTGATGTATTGCCAGCCACGTAACCAATTTTAGTTGAACAATGCCGACAAACAGCTTTGGTTCGGTCCACCTGTCTTTGTCCGTCATCCTTGTACGTAACTGCAAAACCAAAATGTTCCCAAACCGGAGACTTCAATGATGCTGGAGGATTTTCGAGCTCAACTTTATCTGTGTTCGCCATTTCGACAGTTCCTCAAATTACTGACTAAATTTGAATGCATCCCTATGACCAGCTCTCATAGTATGCCTCTCGTCCAATGAAATGACTTGGTCGCTCTATGACGCGTTGAACCCAATGTGAGCAAATTACACTGAATGCTGCGACGCAGCACCAGAGATTACTTCCAAAAAGTTGTTCACATTCTCAATTTTTTACGTTTAACGTTATATTAATAATAATAATAATAATGGGTTTCATTTATAAAGCACTTCATATTTTATTTCAAATCCCGAAGTGCTACAAGCAGTGAGCATGAACAGTATAAATAAACATTACACAACACGGTAGAATTAATAAAAAGCAATAAAAAACAAACAATAGAAATAAAATAAAAATAAAAGGGTGGTAAAAAGGTCTAGGCAAAGGCTCTATTGAATAGATGGGTTTTGAGGCCTTTTTTAAAAGCCTCCACGCTCTGTGGTGCTCTCATGTGGTCGGGGAGAGCGTTCCACAGACTGGGGGCAGCCGAGCAGAAGGCCCGGTCTCCCATGGTACGGAGCTTAGTCCTGGGGGTTTGAGCAAGTTGGAGTTGCTGGAGCGGGTGGTCCGCAAGGAGGTATGGGTGGTGAGGAGTTCCTTGAGGTAGGGAGGGGCAGTTCCATGGACACACTGGTGGGTGAGGACGGAGACCTTGAATTCGATCCTCAGTTCCACGGGGAGCCAGTGTAGTGATTTAAGGATGGGGGTGATGTGATCATATTTGCGCACCCTCATCAGGATCCTAGCAGCGCTGTTCTGAATGTACTGGAGCTTCTGGATGCTTTTGTTAGGGATCCCGATGAGGAGTGCATTGCAGTAGTCCAGCCTGGAGGAGACAAAGGCGTGGACCAGCTTTTCGGCGTCAGACAGAGTGAGTGTGGGGCGGAGTTTGGCGATGTTCCTGAGGTGATAAAAGGAGTTCTTGCACAGCTGTTTAATGTGGGCCTCAAAGGTCAGATGGGCGTCCATTTTAACACCCAGGTTGGTGACTATTGAGGAGAGGGTAATGTCCTGGCCGGAGAAGGTGATGGTGGTGATGGTGGATGACCGAACCTGGTGTGGGGTGCCAACTATAATGGCTTCGGTCTTGGAGCTGTTGAGTTTCAGGAAGTTTTGCTTCATCCACGCCTGTATCTCCTCCAGGCAGGCAGTGAGTGTGGGTGAAGGCAGGGCTGCAGAGGAGGTAGGGTTGATCCTGAGGTACAGTTGGGTGTCATCAGCGTAGCAATGGAATGATACTCCATGTCGGCTGATGATAGAGCCAAGGGGGAGCATGTAGAGTGTGAAGAGGGTGGGGCCGAGAACTGATCCTTGAGGGACACCACAGGTGACGTTGTGGGTACCCGACTCTGCCTCGCCCAAGGAGACGTACTCTGTTCTCCCGGTGAGGTAAGATCTGAACCAGTCAAGGGGAGAGTCAGAGAGTCCGATGGTGGAGTGCAGACGATGGAGGAAGATGCCGTGATCGACGGTGTCAAAAGCTGCAGTGAGATCGAGGAGGATGAGGAGAGAGGGAGAGCCAGCATCAGCCGTCATCAGCAGGTCGTTGGTGACCCTGACCAGGGCAGTTTCTGTGCTGTGGCCTGAGCGGAAACCAGACTGGAACTTCTCAAATAGGTTGTTGGAGTTTAGGTGGTCCTGGAGCTGAGCAGCAACTAGTTTTTCCAGCACCTTTGATAGGAAAGGAAGGTTGGAAATGGGTCTGTAGTTGGCCAGGACTCCCGGGTCAAGGGAGGGTTTTTTGAGACGAGGTTTGATGACAGCGGTTTTTAGGGCAGAGGGGACATGGCCAGCCTGGAGAGAGAGGTTTACGATCTTAGTGATCATGGGGCTCATGGTACAGATGTACGATTTCGCAAGAGCTGACGGAAGGGGGTCCAGGACACAGGTGGAGGGCTTCATCCTCCTAACGATGCCCTCAACCTCTCGCTGAGAGATGTCCGTGAAACAGCGAAGAGGCTGAGTTGTCCCAAGCTGTGGGTCAGCAGTTGGAACTGGAGGTGCAGAGGGGCTAGAGAGGAGGGAGCGGATGGTGTCAACTTTGTTTGTGAAGAAGGTGGCGAAGTTGCTACACTGCTTCTCAGTGGAGTCGGAGTGTAGAGGACTTTGGGGTTTGAGGAGGTGGTTTATGGTGGAGAAGAGTTGCTTGGAGTTTCCATTACTGTTGTTGATGAGGGAGGAGTAGTACTGGGACCGTGCATCTCTGAGGGACTGTGCGTAGGCCTTCTGGTGTTCACGATAGGCTAACCGGTGAACAGTGAGTCCTGAGGCCTTGAGCCGCCGCTCAAGGATACGCCCAGCTGTCTTCATTCTCCGCAGCTCGCCGGTGTACCAAGGGGCTGAGCGCGAGAAGGTGACCATCCTGGTTTTGAGGGGGGCGTGCAGATCAAGGAGACTGTTAAGGGACTGGTTGTAATATGCAACTGACTCATTTACTGATGAGAAGTTGGCGGAAGAAAGATGCTGGAGGTCCAGGGTCATGGTGTCCGGGTTGATGTTCCTCAGGTTCCTGAAGCGGATTTGGCGTTTGGGCATGCTGAGTGGGGACTGGAAAAAGGTGCTTAGCAGCGAGGGCTAACAGCAACGAGACAGCTGGAAGGCTATGCCGTTAGTATACCTCACGTCTGGGAATGAAACAGAGGATTGGGAGTCCGCCTGCTATCACAGTAGTAGCGGGAGAGAGGCAAGCAGTCAGCCGGAGATAGTCGGTGAATTTGGGCGATACAGCAGGTGAGTCCCGACAGCTGTCAGGTCCAAAACCGTCAATAATCACAAGGTTTAAGATATAAAAGCACTTGTTAAACAGACTCAAAGTTTAGCCATATAACTATAGCTTAAAAGCAGATAAAAACTCTGAGGCGTAGGAGAAGCGGCGAACAAACAAGCGCCAGCGTCCTCTCCTCCTCCTATACTGTTTCCTGCAACTCTCCTCTGTCGTCTCTGTTATATTCGAACTGCTACCCCCGCGACCCGACCACGGATAAGCGGGAGAAGATGGATGGTTATATTCGTTCCATACACTTCGGTACACACGTGTACCGAACCGAAGGGCCCATACCGAATATTTTCGGTACGAATACGTATACCGTTACACCCCTACTAACTATCTATCTATCTATCTATCTATCTATCTATCTATCTATCTATCTATCTATCTATCTATCCATCTATCCATCTATCTATCTATCTATCTATCTATCTATCTATCTATCTATCTATCTATCTATCTATCTATCTATCTATAGCAATAGCTACCCATGTTACAAGCTAGCTAGCTAGCTTTCGCCAACTTGTTAGCTCTTGTTTTTAAAATATAAACATTATTTAACATCATATGGTTTAACTATCGAGCTGGCAGTGAGATTAATTATAAGAACATTGTTGACATGCTTTTTTAAAGCTGACTGGCCTCTTCATACAGCGGTAAATTCACATATCCTAATCTAAATGGTTATTTTCAAGCCTGCATAAGTGTTATAATTAAAAACAGTAAAGCTGGCATTATAAGGCTATTTGGAAGCGCACTACAGCTGGCAAAGCACAAGGTGAATACATTTGCTAATGTTAGTGAATGCTAGCTAGATTGGCCCATTTTAACAAACAAACATTAGCATTAGCTAACATTAGCACAACAAAAACAGCTAAACTATGCAAAAATGATGAATTCAACTAGCAATAACAGTAGTTTGAAAACCACATAAGAGTTGCTAGCTATGGTTAGCCAACCTAACCAAAGTCTTAAGTTTAGTTCAGGTAGTTTCCTGTTTAATGCTACAATACCCCCTGTTTTTACGTCACTGCTTATTGTCGGGTTTCCAGACATCATGGAACATTTTGGGCAGTCGGGGATTACGAGGCGTTGTCTGGAATCCTAAATCCTGCCCTGTTTGTCCAGAACATTTGACTAGACCAATAGTTATTGCATATTAAAACATTGAATACCAATATTTGTGAACCATTTTATTTTGTACACAGAAAGGCCCTTTATGTCCATAGCCTACATTAATTGAGCTTTGATCAAATTAACATGGACCCTTGTCGTACTACTTCAACAATAGCCAAGCACTGACTGAATATATCACAGTAATTTGTTTTGTTTTAACCTGTCATACTTTTCAGGAAACAGATAATCAAAAGATATGTAATTATAATTTCCTTTTTATCCCCAGAGTGTAGATATGTCTGCTGCCAGCTGTCTGCTGACTGAAGATCAGTTTCTGTGCTCCATCTGTCTGGATGTGTTCACTGATCCAGTCGCCATACCATGTGGACACAACTTCTGTAAAGCCTGCATCTCTGAACACTGGGATAGAAATGTCCAGTGTCAGTGTCCCAACTGTAAAGAGGATTTCGACAGAAGACCTGTACTACGCGTCAACACTTTCATCTCTGAGATGGCTGCTCAGTTCAGACAGTCAGCTCAACAGGAAGCCAGCAGCAGCAGCTCAGAGCAACAAGTTGTCAAACCAGGAGAAGTTCCCTGTGACGCCTGCACTGGAACCAGACTGAAGGCCCTGAAGTCCTGCCTGGTGTGTCTGGAGTCCTACTGTGAGACTCACCTGGAGCCTCACCTGACAAGGGCAGGCCTGAAGAAACATCAGCTGATCGACCCTGTGGAGAACCTGGAAGGCAGGATGTGTGTGAAGCACGATAAACTGCTGGAGCTGTTCTGTAAGACTGACCAGGTGTGTGTCTGCATGCTCTGCACTGTTTCAGACCACAAGACACATGATGTTGTTCCTCTGAAAGAAGGATATGAAGGAAAGAAGGCTGAGCTGGGGAAGACAGAGGCTGACATTCAGCAGATGATCCAGAAGAGACGACTGAAGATTCAGGAGATGAATCGCTCAGTGGAGCTCAGTAAGGAAGGAGCAGACAGAGAGATAGCAGATGGTGTTCAGGTCTTCACCGCTCTGAAGGAGTCTGTTGAGAGAAGCCAGGCCGAGCTCATCGACACCATCAAAGAGAAGCAGAGAGAGACAGAGGAACAGGCTGAAGGCTTCATCAAAGAGCTGGAACAGGAAATCTCTGAACTGAGGAAGAGAAGCTCTGAGGTGGAGCAGCTCTCACGCTCTGAAGACCAGCTCCACCTCCTCCAAAGCTTCACGTCCCTGAACGCTGCTCCACCCACCAAGAACTGGACAGAAGTCAGGGTCCGTCCACCTTCATATGAGGGGACTGTGGTGAGAGCTGTGACTCAGCTGGAGGAGACGCTCAGTAAACAGATGAAGAAGCTGCTTGAGGTCGAGCTGAAGAGGGTCCAGCGGTATGAGGTGGAGGTGACTCTTGATCCTGATACAGCACATCCCTATCTCATCCTGTCTGATGATGGAAAACAAGTAAACTGTGGTGATGTGAAGAAGAATCTCCCAGGCAACCCAGAGAGATTTGATGATAGTTACTCTGTGTTAGCAAAGCAGAGTTTCTCTTCACGAAGATTTTATTACGAGGTTCAGGTTAAAGGTGTGTCTGACTGGACTTTAGGAGTGACCAGAGAGTCGATCAACAGGAAGGGAAAGATCACAAAGACCCCTGAGAATGGTTTCTGGACCATCGATTTGAGGGATGACAATAAGTACGAAGCTTGTGCTGACCCTGATATCCGTCTCTCTCTGAAGTCTCAGCCTCAGAAGGTGGGGGTGTTTGTGGATTATGAGGAGGGTCTGGTCTCCTTTTATGATGTTGATGCTGCAGCTCTGATCTACTCCTTCACTGGCTGCTGCTTCAAAGAGAAACTCTACCCATGCTTCAGTATTCCGGAAAATCTCGTTGACCTGTTCTCCTTATCTAATATAAATATTGACCCTCTGATCATCACTCCTGTCGATCACACTGAGTAAAAGAAATGTGGATTTTCCACAGAGGGATTCATTATGATTTAATATAATACATATATATTTACTGGTGATGTACAGGGTTTTCATTGATCTATCAGATGCTTCTTTTCTTTCTGTTCAAATGTCTTTGATGTTTCACATATGTCCTACTACTTAGAATCAAGGCCAGCACACTGATCTATATTATCCAATACAGTCTCATTATTCTAATGATTGATTATATTACATTTCATTTAGCTGACGCTTTTATCCAAAGCGACTTACAATAACCAATTACAGGGACCAATTGGTAATTGGCACCAATCACTAGTGCCCCCCTTACTCAAGGGCACACTAGTGGTGGTGTTCCAGGCGGGATTTGAACTCACAACCTTCCGATCTTCAGCCCACCTCACTATCCATTAGACCACCACTACCCAATTACCTTCCTTAAGACTGTTAAATCATCAGAAAACAATATGTTCTTAGAAATTAGAACCTGTCTGATCCTTGAATAACTCACAAGAGTTGATCAGCGGCACTCATTACTGAAAGAAACAGTCATGCACAGAGCTTTGGGCGGGGCATTAATTGCCGGTGCACATTGTTCCGAAGAATATGAAATATTGGTAATATTGGTGTTTGTATACATGGGACTATGGTGTAAGAAACCAAATGTAAACAGAGTTCTCTTTTAAAGCCCTGTTTTATTGGGGCGAAATGTGTGAAAGCGAAGGGTTGATAATTATACAAATTAAGATCAAGGATGTAAAAAGATGTCTTTGGCTTAATAATGATTGTAAAAACTATAATTCTGTTTCTTTTTCAAAGTCGATTTATTGTGTCCAATACCTGCTTGGTTTATTGTGTTGAGTTGTAATTATAAGGCTATAGTGTGTAAATGTGTGTTTGACTTTACAGTTTGTGTTGGCCCCAGGAAGAATAGCCATTGCTCATGCTACTGCTGATGGGGATCATAATAAAGTAAATGTAAGAGCACTATCGTATGAACATGACAAAATCATTTAGCATGTTTCTTCTTTTTCCTGTAAATGCACAATAAAGGTAAGAAAAATTAAAGTGTGTTTTTTTTTATTATCAAGATATAGATATCAGAACAACTGAAACTACACATAATGTTAAATAATGATTTCTGTTATCAAGATTATACTGGACAATCTTCAAGGTGCTTCATTGTTTTTTTACTATTATATCATTTTGGTATATTGTAACGCCTCATTTTGTGGAGACATGCACATATTTGGCCAGTGTGCACTGAAAAAAAATAAATGTTGACTTCAATTAAATATATTATGTCAACCAATTGCACAAATAAAGGTTAGTTGACAGGGTTAGTTGAAAACTAAGTTAGTTGAAAGCAATAATATTAAGTTGAACCTAATATTTTTGTCTCAGTTTTTTCAGTGTAACCTTCAATCTATATGATGTTGGTTCTGCAGCTCTGATCTACTCCTTCACTGGCTGCTGCTTCAAAGAGAAACTCTACCCATAATTCAGTACTCGGAAAACTGTCTTAGTCCTGGTTGGGTGCATCTTAGGGAATATAAAGATGGACCCTCTGATCATCACTCCTGTCCATCACACAGAGTAAAAAAAACTGTGGATTTGCCACAGAGGGATTAGTTATGATTTAATTTAAGAAATGTGTATTAACTGGTGATGTAAAGGGTTTTCATTGATCTATCAGATGCTTATTTTCTTTCTGTTAACATGTCTTTGATGTTTAACATATGTCATACTACTTATAACCAAGGACAGCTCACTGATCTATATTATTCAATACAGTCGCATTAATCTAATGATTGATTACCTTTCTTAAGACTGTTAAATTATCATAAAACAATATGTTCTTAGAAATTAGAAGCATAAAAAGTTCCCTAAATGTCCATGGTGCCGAGGGCAAAGCCTTCACCTGTCTGATCCTTGAATACATCACAAGAGTTGATCAGCGGCACTCATTACTCAAAGGAACAGTCATGCTCAGAGCTTTGGGCGGTAATTGCCGGTGCACATTGTTCAGAAGAATATTACACCATATCACTTATGAAAAACTTCCAAAGAAGGAAAACCCCACAGTTTAAAGGGGAAAATGGGAGAAACCTCAGGGAGAGCAACAGAGGAGGGATCCCTCTCCCAGGACGGACAGACGTGCAATAGATGCCGTGTGTAAATCGAAAAAATAACACATTTACAACATAGGTAGACCAAATGTTTGGAAATGCATGTGTCTATAATAAGAAGATGAATCCACGAGGATGTCAACAATCCTGTGGGAGCCATCAGGGAAGCAGTATGATGAGAGTCAGGCAGGACCACAGTGACAGGTTCAGCCACGACTCGAAGTCCAGGACTCAGATCACGACTCAGGATCCCAGCGTAGATAGACACCAAAAAGACATTTGGGGGAAGCTGGGTTATTCGGAACATGAGAGTACACAGGTACAGACAGAGAGAAGGAAGAAGTAAGGTGTCCCCCGACAGTCTAAGCCTGTAGCAGCAAAACTAGGGGCTGAATCTAATCAGCCCTAACTATAAGCTTTATCAAAAAGGAAGGTCTTAAGCGCACTCTTAAAAACGGATAGGGTGTCTGCCGCCTGAACACAAACTGGAAGCTGATTCCACAAAAGTGGAGCTTGATAAGAAAAGGCTCTGGCTCCCATTGTACTTTTAAAAACTCTAGGAACAACCAACAGCCCTGCATTCTTGGAACGCAATACCCTAGTAGGACAGTAGGCTATAATGACTTATTTAAGGTAAGATGGCGCCTGCCCATTAAGGGCTTTGTAGGCGAGAATAATCATTTTAAATGCTATCCTGTGTTCTATAGGGAGCCAGTGTAAGGCAGCCAGAATCAGATATTAATGTGTAGAACTACAATATGTGAAATAATATAGCAATATCCTGTAAAATAATGTGATAACATGAATAAAACTACACATCTTCAGATGTTATACATACATAAGTGTCCTACACTAATAATAGAAAGTTATTATGGCATTAGGCGCGTTCACACCGGAGTACTTTTCCCCGTACTTTTCCCGTTTAGTTCCGTTGGTACCCCTTATGTTGCGTTCACACCAAAAAGAGTACTTAGTGCCGGGAACTTTTACCCCCATTTTTAGTGCCTGCTAGAGAGGTGGTACCAAAAAAGTACCAAAAAAGTACCAATTTCTATTGGCTGGGCGAATTGCAAACCACGCCCCGTAAAACTCTGAAAAGTTTTGTGAAGCCGCCATTGTATTTGTGGCATTAGCATTATTAGCATTAGCATTAGCATTAGCCCCACGCACCAACGGAGAGAGAATAACTTATGGCAACACAAAAAAAAAAAGGTGTCGGCTTTCTGGCGATTTACTCGGAAAGCTTCAGTAGAAGCTGCTGGGACTCCCAGCAGCTTCTACTGAAGCCAGTCCCCAACTCCGGGGACTCCGGGTGGCAGTATACACCGTGAAGTTGTTTGCGGCCTGCCAGTAAACCCAAAGCAGAAGAAGACGAAGTGACGTCAGCGGCTCATTTGCGTAATCTTCCCTCAGGGAACTTATTCCGGTGTGAACGCGATTGGTACGGGGCACTAAGTGCCGGCACTAAGTACGGCAAAGTACTTGGTGTGAAAGCAGCTATTGTATGCTGTGTGTTATTTGTAACATCTTCAGAAACTACCTTTCCAACTCCTCACCAGTTGACTGTTACAGGTCTATACAGATTCATGGTACAATGCATAAGCTTCAAATTGAGAGACTGAAACTGTATTTTTCTTTACCGTTTTAATTTCACAATAAAGTTAATAGTAATATTATGTTCGATATTATTATGTTTTATTAACTAGACCACTGGGTCATGTTAAGAATGCAGCTTTGCAGAGACTATCTCAGTCGGTTTTGGTGTTATATCAAAACATCCGTCATAAACTAAACTGTAAACTTATACTGGAAAGTATCATTTATTGTATTAACACTGTAAACTTGACAGTTTTTTAACCCGCACCACCTACTGGTTAAATATCGCGGTATATCGTGGTCCCATTGAGATCATTGATCTCTTTTTCAAGGGAGACCTGTCCAACATGGCAGCAAGTAGGTTACAACATGAACATAAAACAACAGATAACACAAAAGGACATCGTATTTACAGGGATACATTTACATACCTAGAGACATTGACAAGTACCAACTGTATATTTATATCTCGCCCTGTCAATAAGCCTCACCTTCTTGGCAAAAACTGTATTGTTTTTGAAGTGGTGGAGAGACAATGCACAGTTTTACCCACTGCTGTCACCCATGGCCAAAGCATATCTCTCTGTCCCACAGAGGTGGCGTTAGACTTTTTCGTTGTCCCTAACCCTAACCCTAATGACGGACAGGATCGTAAAATGTCCGTCATAATCCATTATTACCCGTCGGGTCTGAACTCGCCACTAACGTGTCGCGCTGACACGGGGGGGCAGGCATGTGCACACATACACATCAAAGTGGGCTTGAGCCCCTGCCCTTTTTCTTCCTCCAGAGAAAGTGCCCTTTTTTCCCCCTTTTTTATTTTTTAATAAATTAATATATATCTACTGCCGTTTGCGCAGTTTCTCTTTCCAAAAATATATTGATTAAATACAAAATAAAAATATCAGGTCGGGAGATTAGACTGTGAAGTTCCGTAGCTCTCTATACCCTCCCTCCTCCCTCCCTCCACGTCTCGCACACAGCGGTGCGAACATCGGCAGTCACTTCAGACAGACAGGTAGCAGCACCTCCCACTTTACTGTCCCATGTTATGCCGGCTTTTCTTGGCTTATTCTGAAGGTGAGTGGTGATTAATTACTAAACTGCCAGTGCCTCAAGTTTACAGCTAATTAGCTAAATGACAAAAACAAATATAGGCAACTAAGGTAGGCTACTAGCTAATGGATAAGTTAGCTCAAGGTTTAGCTAAGGCAATGTATCATGGGCAAACAGGCTAATGTAGCCTACTGTACTTAAGCGGAGACACTAAAGGTGAATACAATAAAATGTGTATCTAATAACGTCATCACAATCGCCACATTGATATGCAAATTAGGCGTTAACTAGGCCTAATTAAAATGTGCTAATTTGCATGCATTTACCAAGGCATTGCAGGTGAAAAGGATAAAAAACATAGCACCTCACAACTTCCCCAGATAGTTACTTACGTCAAGTCAGTTTTTTCCCCTGAAATGTTATGTTTAAATTCAGATTAGCTTTAAATCTATAGATTAATTCAGACATGGTAGTAAAACGAACACCATTTGTGTGTTTGTTGTGTCTCGTCAAATGTGTTAGTTATGTTTATGTATTTTGTCTGTCATTTCCTGTTTTATTCTGTACTTACCTCTTGTCTTTCATTTCAGGCCCTGTTTCTTCCTCCCCCTGTGTGTTTTTCCCACCATCATCAGCGTCTGCCCCGCCCCTGATTGTTTCCACCTGTTCCCACTCACCTCATGTTTAAATAGTCCTGTCTCTCCCCTGTCCTGTGTCAGTTCGTCTCGTTTGTTTCCCCGATTGGTCGTGCCAAGCCTCAGCTCTGAAAGGATCGCTTTTCACTCATGTCAGGTTTTGTTATGTTTGTTTATTTTCGTTTGCTTAAAGTTTTTATTAAGTCCTCTTTTTGTTACGCTAGTTTTTCCCTCCTTGTGAGCGCTTTGTTTTTTCCACCACCTACTCTGTTAAGAGGGATTACCTGACCTGTGAAAATAAATAAAAAATGTTAGTACATTCAAGACTTTGTCTCTGGGTCGTGCATTTGGGTTCATCAGTTTGTGTCGAGGTCCTGACCAGGGGCGTCGCCTGGACCTGAAAACATTCGGGGCTTAGCCCACAGTGGCGGCAGCACTACAGTGGCATTTTTTACTGCAACACTCCCCACACGCACACACACAGTACACCCGCGACTGTTACAATGAAGGCTCGATAATCAGCTTACGGCATATAGGCAGGGGTAAAGTGGTATTTTTTATGAGTGGGGGGCTCACCTCCTCTAGGGGGGTCCGGGGGGATGCTCCCCCGGGAAGATTTTTTTTTAAATATTGAAGTTAAAAGCATCAATCT